AGCATTTATGACTGCCATTTATCTTATAAATCGCACTCCCACTCCAGTTCTAGATCATGTGTCTCCATACTTTAAATTGTTCGCTGAAGCACCAGATTACTCCTTTTTACGAACTTTTGGTTGTGCTTGCTATCCATTATTAAGACCTTATACAAAGCATAAACTAGCTTTTCGTAGCAAACAATGCATTTTTCTTGGCTATTCATCTCAGCATCATGGATATCGTTGCTTGGATCCTTTGTCTCTAAAGATTTATATCTCTCGAAACGTTGCTTTTGATGAACTTAATTTTCCAGCTCAGGTATGGTCCTCCTCCACCTCTCCTGTTTCCACGAGTGATTCCATTACAGGTATGTCCTTTGATTTAACTCCATTTTATTCACAATTTATGTCAGAACATGTCTCTAATAATTCACTTGAAAATTCCATCGAACCTTCATCATCTACAATACCCTCTAGTCCATTACGTGAGCAATCTCAAAGTTCTGTAATTCAACCACCTCCAAGTCCAATAGAGCAACCTCATAGTCCACTGCCTAATGCATCTTTATCCAATGACAATGCATCATCACCTCCTCCCATACAACATGCTTCCCCACATCATAAGGTGACACGTTCACGCACGGGCACTCTTCGTCCCAAACAATTTCCAGATTTTCATCTGTTTTACTCTTCTAACCATCCAGTGTGTACGTTTACCAGTATGCTTACTTGTGTAGAACCAAGCACTTTCTCTCAGGCTATTGTGTCACAAGAATGGAAGCAAGCTATGCATGAAGAATTTGATGCACTTATTGCTAATGACACATGGGAACTTGTACCTCGGCCGCCTGATCAGAACATTATTCGCACCAAATGGGTCTATAAGGTTAAACAGAAGGCAGATGGTAGTATAGACCGTTACAAGGCAAGGTTGGTGGCACGGGGTTTTCAACAGGTGGAAGGTGTCGACTTTACCGAGACATTTAGTCCTGTGATCAAACCTGCTACAGTAAGAGTGGTGCTAGCTATTTCTATGTTCTTTGATTGGCCTGTTTTGCAATTTGACGTTTCCAATGCCTTTTTACATGGAACACTAGAAGAAGAGGTTCTCATTGAGCAACCTCCTGGTTTTATTAATCCTATATATCCTGAGCATGTTTGTCGCCTTAAGAAGGCCCTCTATGGCCTTAAGCAGGCACCACGGGCATGGTTTCTTCGACTCTCCAATAGTTTACTTGATCTTGGATTTGTGGGATCTCCTGTTGATACTTCATTGTTTACTTTTCACCATAACAAAGTTCATGTATTTATTCTCATCTATGTGGATGATTTGCTTATAACAGGATCTTGTCCTACCTTTCTCCAGACTCTTACTATCCAACTACAAAAGGAATTTGCCTTAAAGGCTCTTGGTGATCTGGGATATTTTTTGGGAATTGAAGCATCTCGTGATGCAGATGGGTTTCATCTTCGGAAAAGTAAATATATTCTTGATGTTCTTCATCGTGCACGGATGGTGGGTGCAAAACCCTATTCAGCACCTTGCATTTCAGGCAGTAAAATTTCTAGTGTGATTAATGAACCTATTCAAGATGCCACAGCTTATATGCAAATTGTTGGGGCTCTTCAGTATTGTACTCTAACTCGTCCCGAAATTGCCTATTCTGTAAATCAACTATGCCAACATCTTCACTCACCTACTGCTACCCACTGGAAGTCTGCAAAGCGAGTATTACGATATCTTAAAGGTACAGTTGAACATGGTTTGTACTTCACAAAAGGGTCTTTGAGCATTCATGCGTATTGCGATTCAGATTGGGCAGGAGATCCTATTGATCGACGGTCCACTACTGGGTATGGAATTTTTCTGGGTTCTTGTTTAGTCTCTTGGTGTGCAAAAAAACAGAATGTTGTCTCGCGATCAAGCACAGAGGCTGAATACCGAGCATTAGCCATGGTTGTTGCTGAATTGTATTGGATTTGGATGTTACTTAAAGACCTACGCATACCTCTTCTTTTTCCTCCTATAGTTTGGTGTGATAATTAGAGTGCAATTGCACTTGCTGCCAATCCTATTTACCACGCCCGCACTAAACACATTGAAGTGGACTTTCATTTTATTCGTGAGAAGGTGATTAATAGAGATGTCGAAATGCGCTATATCTCTACCTTGGATCAAGTTGCAGATATTTTCACCAAGGGCTTGACATCCTCTAGATTTCAATTCTTGAAAGACAAACTTATGGTCTGTAACCTTCCCATACGTTTGAGGGGGGATGTTAAGCAATCAATATCAGATCAACCTATCACAGATCATGCTCCAGCAATCAGCCAGCAATTAAATAAATGACAGATAATCAGGGATAGTGTTTCGGCAATTATATATAATTAGCCATGTATAGTTTGATTTACTCTTTACAGCTTGTTTGTATTTTAGGAAAACTCTCTTGCTGTATCTTTCCATTCTTTGTAAGAAGTCTATATAATACATTATACACAGCAGGCTATAACACATTGGTTAAGCCTCTTCTTCCTTTATTCTTTCACTTACCACTTCCAAATGCTTCCGAATTGGTCTTCTAAAGTGTTGAGAATGTTCAACCTGGTCTTCAAACTTCTCCAAAAGTCAAATTTGATCCCAAAATTCTGAGAAGTGTTCAAATTAGACCCCAAAATTGAAATAATCTTCCAATTTCATTCAATTGAGTCCCTATACTTTCTAACACTTGTGCAAATCCATCATTTAGTCCAATTAAACTCAAAATCATTTCCTTTGCATAATTAACTTCAAATTGAGGATTTAACCTAGTTAGAAACAACACAAAGTAAATAAAAATTCACTCAATTAATTTAAAATAAGCATCATTTTAACCGTTGATAAACATGTTAAACAAAAGTATCACTAGCTTAGAAAGCTACGAAGAAGATTCATAGCCCGTTATATCTATTCTATTGATATGAATATTTAAATTCTACTAAATTATTGTATAGAGTCAAATACCACCCAAACACTAGATCTCTGAATTGGTGTTCAACCAATATATAGCTTTTCAAGCATGGAGGGCAGGGGAAAATATAATTTTAGTAACGCACATATGACATTATAAATGATAGATTGGCTCGTATATTATTTGAAGCATATAGAGTATCATGAATGATTATATAACATGAAATTGTTGGGAAAGGCTTTCAAAATAAATACAACAAAAATTGACAGGACATAATATAATAGAAAGTCTAGTCTTATAAAAGAAAGACGTTAGTTGTGTGTTTTTACGCACATATATAGCCCCCGTTTGATTTTCATTTTTTGGCCACAAAAATAAAAAATATGATCGTTATCCATCACACCAAATCACAATATTTGACTTCCTATCTTTTATGTGGACTATGTAACGGTTATATTTTTCATTCTCATTCTTATCAAAATGACACGATAAACTATCTATAAATTATTTGTGTTCTAATTGACAAGGTTGTCCTCTAATTGACCAGGGGTATAGAAACAAGAAAACTCTATTTGTCTATGCACCTTGATCTTACATAAAAATGTGATTATTGCATAAGTCAATTATCTTCTTGTTCTGGCGGTCAAAAAAATATTAATATGACCACGAACTTAAATTCAATCATACAACTTACATTAAGTAAAAAATGACAACTAGTGCTTCTTGAATTGGAGGCAATATAACATTAAAATCAAGACTTAATTCAAGTGTTAAAGGTAAAATCTTAATATACTGATGATCGTTGTTCGAACCTCCTTTTGGGGAATCACTCGTTGTCGTTATTCTTTAGTTATCTGTTGAGGTATTAGTACCCAATTTCAAGTTTGGTTGCAAATCTAATTGGTTAGAGCATCTTCAATAGTGGTGCAAAGTATATTCAAATTGTGATTTATATTTTTAAGGTGGTCGAAAATTTCTCCAACGTAAAAATGCAAAGAAAATACAAATTACATTTATTTTTCTGTAGAAAATGTAAAAAAAAATATGTAAATTGAGCATGTTGATAGTAAGTTACTTGCATTCCGTTATTATATAAAAAGACAATGTAATGATTGGCACCCACATAACTTTCCAATAAAGTAAGGGAGTCTCTAATAGTGGTATAAAATTGGTGTCTTTGAATTCACTTTTGCATGCTCATTTACATTTTAGTAGATCTTTTGCTTCAATAAAAAAATTTGAATTTGTCTCCTTTTAAAATTAATATAGTTCAATATTAATTTTACTGGACGAATCAAAGCTTGACTTACTCTTCTAGATCGAACGATATTGAATACTAAATATCAAACACTGACACTTCAAAATAATTTGAATATTATTTTGACAGAATTTGGAGAAATTAGGAATTAGAAATCAATTTTTGATGAAAAAATTTAGTAGATTTTGACAAAAGTTGTTGAAGTTTATGACTTCAAAAAGTTAATAACAACTACGAGTCATATGAAATGTGTGGTTAAAATTGAAGTTTAACAAATTGATAAATTGATAAAGTTTTATCAAAGTTCTATCGATCAAGCTGTTAATGACATTCCAAAAACTAATTAGCCTTAAATGACAGGGGAATAACATAATTATAACGAAGATTACATTTTCGATTTTAAGAAATGCGTAAATGAAATGTATGTTTGATCAACTTAATTAATTTCTCTAAGTCCATATTTAATTCTGTACCACATGGACTGCATGAAGGCGATGCATTAATGTAATCAATATCTTGCCTATTTCTCCCCTCACTTGTTCGTAAATTCATTATTAAAACAAAAGTCCACGACAGATGAAAGTTACTAGAGCACGAATGAGTCAATGTATTCATCTACTCATTTTCTTGCCTATTTTCTAGCCCCACTCGTTCCTTATGTCCCCCCAACCAAATTGTTCATCTATCTCAATTCTTAATTAAAAAATGAAGTCAATCCATTCTATAGAAATAAAAGAAGCATCACAATCAATGAAAATCATTATAAAGACTCTTCTTGACAACTTCAAGCTTCATTACAGAGAGAGAAGAAGAGGGAATCAAGAAAATGGCCCCTTTGCCAAAGAAGAGAATAAAGCACTTCATTCATCCTGGCCATCAATTAACAGCAATTGATGGCCATGATCAACCATATCTCTGTGATAGATGTAAAACTCCTGGAACCGGAAAAAGATTCCGGTGCAACAGATGCGATTTCGACTTGCATGAATACTGTGGAACTTGCCCCGGAACCTTCTCTGCAACCATGCACCAACACCCGCTCACCCTGGTGAGCCTAAAGGCAGAAAGCGCAAGCAAAATTACTCGTATCTGTGACCTGTGTTCCGATCCTGTAGAGGGCCTGTTCTACGAATGCAAAGAATGTAAATTTAACGTTCATCCGCTCTGCACACAATTTCCAAAGGAATTGAACCACGCCCTCCACAAAATCCACCCTTTGATACTGCAACCTAACTCACTACCTGGATTCTGCGCTGTCTGTAAAGATTTGTGCAGGGGTTGGCGTTACAGGTGCAAGGCTTGTAATTTTGATATACACGTGGAGTGCATATTAGTACCTTCTGTGAAGTGCCCGCAAAGTCCTCCACAGAATGCGCAAAGTTCTCAGCGTGGAATGCCCACGTTTGATCAAGGGATTCCTTTTCAGCCCCCGCCGCAATTCGGTGGCCATTATGCCCACGGATTTCCCTATGGCTATGGCCCTGGTTACAATGGTCAGATGCATGGCTATCCGGTGTATCCCAACAATTTTGTGCAGCAGAATCAAGTGGGTGGCGGTGGCGGTGGTAAGCGCTTGGGAAAGATGGTGTTTTCTCTTGTTGGACGGCTTGGATCTGGAGTGCTATCTAATATGATATTTGGAGTGGATTTATCATCTGTTTTTGCTAATTAACGTTTGGATTGAATTCATCCTGTCTTGTTGTCATCTAATCAAGTGAGTGGTGTGGTGCTGAAAATAATCTTACGTTCGGATTTTGTTCAACGTTTGTTGGGTTACCTAATCCTTATTTAGGATCAGATAAATTTGTTTTCAAGTTCTGATTCTTCCCGTCTTGTTCCATTTACACGCTTTTGCAGTGAGCTTTCCTTGAATTCTGATTCACTTTTGATATAATAAATGTATATTTTCAGAGTTGAGAAAATTTGCTATTACCGGAATTAAAGTGTGTTTTCGCGATCATAGCTTAATTTTTTATTTTTTGATGATTTAAATTAATTATTTTATTTTTGTTTTACTTAAAAGTATTCCATCCTCTTTCATCAGTGACATTTACAAATAAGATGATGGATATTTGCTTCAACCTTAGTTCACATCATATTTCTATGCCAAAATTAAAACCTTAGTTTACGAAGGATTGCGTCAATAATACTATTTTTCTTTATTAGGTGACATTGGAATGATGAGTGGAAATGAAAATAAAAATCACAGAATGTATAATAAGAAAGAAATTAAAGAAATGATTTATTGCAAAACCCCACCCCAACCTGGCCTATTTATCCGGTTCAACTAACTCTGTCACATCAGTTTATAGCAATCCATAGTGAACGAATTTAAAAAAGTTTATTTATATTATAAGCTAGTTTCAGAAGACCAAGTCATGAATTGGAAGAATGATAGATAGGGTTGGAAGAATGATTCTTGTCAAATTAAATGTTCAAACGGATATCTGAATTGAGAATCGATGTATACGGTTCGATTCTTGGTTCTAGACCAAGAATCGAAGAATCGAATAAAAACCAAATTTTCTAAATTTTTTTTAATATTGAATAAATCAAATTATTTTAATTTAAATTTTTTCTAAATAAATTAACAATTCCTAAATCCAAAATTTTGGCCCAATAATTTGTTTCGTTTCTAATTTTTTTAATTTTTGGCCCAATTACCCATTTTATTGTTTCATTTCTTAGCCCAACCCACTAAATAACCCTAAACACCCCACATACACTTCATGAATAACATCTGAAATCTGAATTGCTCTCTCCCCGTCTCGCACTCACTCTCGCTGTAGTGGTGACATTCCAAAACCTATACAACCATCGATCGAAGCTGTGATTGTCGATCGAAGATGTGACTCGACCGCCGACCTTAGCTGTGACTGTAGCTTTCATTTCAACAAGATAGTCTACTATTGCAGTTATATAGAGCTTGGATTCAAGGGTTAACTTCATGTGTTTTTAATGAGTTATTTAGTGTTAGAGAAATTGTATTTGCTTTCTGCTTGAGAGACTTGCAGTTGAAGAATTTTTTGAAGAATTTGTATTTGCTTTTCTTCTTCTTGACATTGAATTTGTTGAATTTTGCTTGAGAGAATTCAGCAAAAAGAAAGGGAGAACAGATGTTCTAAAGTGGAAACTGGCTGAGCTTATAATCAATGCTTTATTTTTTTAGAAGAAATCTTTACTGTGGTTGGATAGGTAAAATTGATGCCTTTGGTTACAGAGTTTAGCAAAAATTGAGTAGTAAATGTTATTGCAACTAAGATTTGAACTTGAGAAGATGTATATAGGTAAAAACGAAAGAAATTAAAATAAAAGAATAGAATAGACACCAGTGGTGGAATTCGATTCTGCAGGCTGAAAATGTCCATTAGATCTTGAGAAATATTTGGCCACAATATTTTCCTACATGAAAAGAAACCAATTAAAATTTCTGAAGCTGTAGAGAAATAATTGTAAAAGTAGAGACTGTAAAATTATTGAAAATGTAGATGATGTATTACCACTTGACCAGAAACCTTAAGAAGTTTTTGAAACATGTTTATCCTTGAAAGTATCAGATTTTAGGTTTGTATGCAACATCTAAATTGGAGAAATAGCCAACTGATCATGTTAATAAGATTAGTTAGCAGTTAGTTTATGCTCTTTAAGGGTTTTTCAGAATGTTTTGTTGGTTTGTCTCTGTTCAATTGGTGCAACTATCATTTATTAGTGTTTAATGATTTCACTCCACATTGTTTGTGTAGGATTTAATTAAGTCTCTTGTTAAGGTGATACCAATTCTAGATGATCAAATGGAAGACAAAAGACAGCCTAATGAGAGGTCATAAATATGAAATCATTTCACTAGGATACTTGGTGAAGAAAAAGCAAAATGTAATTATTGTGGAGAATTCCTAAACAAAAGAAAGGGCGCATTCTTGATCTATTTAGGAGTTCTTTAACTCCTAAAACAGTTGAGGACTTGATTTGTACACAAAATTGGTTAAGAGAAGAATCTAGACTTTTGAAAGTTTCTTAAGATAGAGTTTGCCTTGAAAAGACGGAATTCTATGAGGGTATTGAGACATGTAATAAAATATATTTTATATTTTTTTATTAAATCTTATTAGTTGAACAAATTTGAATTTATTTATGCCTGTGAATAACTTAATTGTGTGTTTTTTTTTAAATTTTTTCTTACAGAGTTTTTTAGTAGTGAGTATGACAAGTCAAGCAATTGATGGATAGTTGAAATTTTAGTATTAGTATCTACTATTTGGTATTTGTAAATTGTAAGCATTGGTAAATTAATTTTGTTGGACGACTTGTTATTTACATGTTATTAAATTGGATTATGTTAATTTGTAAAATTACGATTGAATGTGTAATTAGTTGTATTTATATAGTGTTGTTATATATGTTAAAAAATTTAATTATAGTACCGAATCGAACCGAACCGAATGGAACCAAATCCAAACGGTTCCATAATCATATTTGGACTCGACAGTTCCATTTACTAGATACTCGAAAATTTTGGTTCGATTCGATTCTCTTTAGAACCGAATCGAATCGATCCACGTCCACCTCTAATGATAGATAAAATAAGAGGTTGACTTTAATTCTTTAACTTTCAATTTTTCTCAAAACTCATTTTTAACCGTACATTTTCTCAATAAAATAAAATTTCACATAAATTTAATATTTTTTTTCTTACTTTTAACTATATATTCTGGAAAAAAATTATTTTTACAATTTTTTTCCCTAAAAAATGGGTCTCAAACATGAGCTTAGTCACATCATATTCTATGCCAAGTTACACGGCATTCAATTGAAGCGTAGAAAGATGAAAATTTTTGCAAACAAGGATCGCTTCGATAAACACTATTTTTCTTTGTTAGGTGAGATTAGGATGACTGATTGGAAAATGAAAATAATAATCATAAAATGTGCAATAAAAAGTGCGTTTAAATTAAAAAAAAAAAAAAGGGTGATTCAATGCAAAATCCTAGCTTTAATTATTTGGGTCAATCAGCTCAATGTTGCATCAACTTTATAGCAACTTGCAATCAATAGTCAATGAATTAAGAAAAAAATAGATTTTTTAATTTTTTTTTAAGGAAAAAAAAAACCTAGGAAAAAGAAGACAGTCAATTGGAAGTGTGCTAATTGAAATAGTAGTTTGAGGACAGATTGATTGGTTCATGGTATGGGAAGAAGTGTATTTACTTATAATTTTATGAAGAAAAAATCATAAATATCATACTTAAAAGAATATCTATATCTACATTTTCTACAAACTATCTTAACAGAGAGAATGGAACACTTAGTGTTCATTCTGGTGGAGCCGTTTTCACACACGCTGTAGCTGAACCGTTTGCACTCACTGTAACCAATCTGATTCTGTACTATTTGCTTTAATTTTTTTTTTCACTATTCCTCTTTAGTGGTGATTTGATATTTGACAGCAACCTTTCTTCCTACCATCCCTTAAGAATTATTCTATGAGTACAGGAAAAAAAAAAATACAGAACTTATACAAGAATTTAAAAATGCCTACATGGCACCAAATAAAAAAAGAAAAAAAGAAAGAAAGAGAAATGTAAAGGGAAAAATGAAAGGGGCCAAAAATCGGAAAAATGAGTAAATACCCCAAAATCGGCTTCAATTCAAGCGACTGGCGACTTCATTTCTTTGACGCGCAAAAATCTGGCCTGCAACAATCTCCATCTCCGACGAAACTCCGGCTAGTTTGCTTCATTATCAATCTGTTGCTACTTTGTTGAGATAATGGCCAGGATAATTATTTTCATACTTGATAGTGCAACAATGATAGAATGGGCAGGAGTAATGAACTCAGTATCAACAAAAATGCTCGCATACTGATTACGAAGAAGTGCTGCATATGGAATGAAAAAAGAATTGACTACAAAAATTATACAAACTGCACCCAGTCAGTATTTAGGCACAACAAAAGTCAAATTAGCAACAAAGTAGCAGCTGATTGATAATGAAGCCAAACAGTCGGAGTATCATTGGAGATGGAGATTGTTGCAGGCCAAATTTTTTGGCATCGTTGGAAGAAAGAAATGGAGTCGCGGTCGCTCGAATTGAAGCCGATTTTGGGGTATTTACTCATTTTTTCATTTTTGGCCCTTTTCAGTCTTGCGTTCATATTTCTCAATTTTCTTATTGGTGCCACGCAGGCATTTTTTGAATTCCTGTGTAAGTTTTGTATTTTTTTTTCCTATACTCATAGAATAATTCGGTCACTATTTTGTAAATGTGCTTAAAAATTGTGTTTGTGACCGTCATTCATAGATACGTGATATTATTTTATGGCTTTATGTCTCTTTGGATGTGATATAAGCATGATTTTATTTTTATTTTTGAAAATAGTGACTTTCGTGCGATTTCGTGCGAAATTGTGACTTGATTTCAAGGTGAAGGCTTCATTTAGAAAACAAGAATAAAAACATTGAATGGGAATTTAATAATCTATTTTTTTCTTCAGATTTCAAAATCCGTTAAAGATGATAGTTAACCTTGAAGTTCGGAATAACTTACCAGACCTATATTATTTAATGATATAATTTTAAAATATTAAAAATATATTTTATATAATTAAGCCTAACTACTTTTAAAGGATTTTTTTAATGATTTGATTAATGATAATTAAAATTTAGAACATGATTTTGCTTAATTTTCTTTTTCAATAACCCATATGATAATGTCATTCACAACACAACCTCCTGTCTACAGCATAGCCCCTAGGCCCATCATCAATTAATTTTTGGTTTTTAAGAAAAAAATAAAGGAAATTACGTAACCCTAGGTGTTTAAAATATTACAATCCAAAAATCAGATATAAAGTTTCATTAATCACAAATCAATTATCAAAACACACCTCATCCACCCATCTATCAAAACCCTAATTCATTTTCATAACTCTCTCTCTCTCAATAACCAGCTCTTTCTCTCTCACACGGTTTGTGACTACTCCTCTCTTTCCTATCTATAGGCGCAGTCTCGCACCACTGTCGTGAGATGTGGCCTATGCCCACCTCAGCTCTCTCTCATCCTAACCTAAATGTTGCTCTCTCCCCACCAAACGCATGGAACAGCCTGTGATCGTCACAGCGCAGCTTGAAGCAGCATTGCAGTCGCGCGCAGCAGTGTTGTGTCTCTGGATGTGAGAGACGACCTCTGTGCATTTGATCTGAGTGGTGGCAATGGTGTTGCCAATCAATGATAGGAGATCTAGGAAAATTAGGTCTCCATTTGTGGACATGGTGGTCGTGACGGTGTCTAATAAATTTGAATCTAATATTTTTGTGATCTTTGATTGGCGGTGGTTGTGATGTTGGCTGTGGTGGTGACGTTGGCGGTGCAGGTGAAGTGATGTTGATGTTGGTGGTGATGGCAGGTTTGGTGTTTGTGGTGGTGGTTATCGATCAGTTGCAGTAGCGATTTTTTGAGGTGATTTTTGTGACTATTGGTGGTGGATTTCGAATGGTGGTGATGGTGCTTATGGTGATGATGATTGAGATTGGTGATGGTCGTGTGACGGTAGTGGTGATGCTACCGTGGTTGTGTTGGTATTGTGTAGGTGGTGATTGTGGTTGTGGTGCTATTGTGGTGGTGGTGAGTGTGAGGGTGGTCACAAGTGATAGTGATAGTAAGTTGATGGCGATGGTATTTGACCCATTATTTGGTATATATGACCAATTATTTGGTTATTTGTGATCAAGTATTTAATTTGATCTAAAAATTTTATAATATGTGACTAAAAAATAATTTGTGACCAGCTAATTTGAAAATCTTTGACCGTCAAATAAATTGTAACCTATAATATTTTCGATTTGTAACCGTCAAAGTAATATGTGACCCATAAATTTGATAATATGAAGTTGTGACCTTTAATGTTTTCGATTTATGACCGTTAAAATAATATGTGATCAATTATTTTGATAATTTGAAGTTGTGACCTATAAGTACGCATCTGTGACCATGAATTGTAAAATTATGACGTTAATATATTTAATTAATAAAATATAATTAATTAATTAATAAATACTTGATTTTTTTCTATTTTTTATTTTTTGTATTTTTAAACTTAATGGTTGAAAATTGATTTGGTACATACTTAATACATGATTTATGATTTTTTCCCTAAAAAATATTGGTACTCTTTGTTAAAGAGCTAGCCAACTAATGTGTTTGGTTAAATAGCATGCTCTCACTGTTCTTTCGTTAAATGACCTTGCTGATGATTTGTATAAAAATGTTTTATTTTCATGCTTTAGGATAAGGAAAAAAAATATTTTTGCACTCTGTTTATTTATTTATTAATTAAAAATGTGATTAAAAAATAAATTGTTTTATGCTATTTCAATGGACTTTTTGATATAAAATTGTTATCAAATACAAGATGAGTTAACTAATGAAAAGTTTGAAGACAAGAATGACCTAAGAAATCGTTAGGGACATAAGTGCTATAATAAGCAAAGATTGAGAACCTAAGTGTAATTAAAATGTGATGAAATAAATAAAAAATTGTAATGTGAATATAATTACTCAATAAACAATACTAAATGTCATATATACCTCACAATTGTAAAAAGACCTTAGTAACCTTATCAATTCAAATTTAGCCTTTTTAGGTAATTCAACATCCACAAATTCCCTTCTCGTTTTGTCTCTTGAACGGATCGTGATACCTTCTTCATTGTATTCTTTACCTCTTTTGGACATCTTTTGGGTATTTGAACAAAAGTTGTTTACCATATTATTTATATTGAGAAATCGCTTCCCGAGGCATTACCCAGTGGTGCAAAGGTCATGAGGGAGGTAGTCTCGATCTTGCTGGCAGTCGTAGTGTTAGGGTTCGATTCCTGAGATATGAAATTGGACTCTTTGTGGGTATCAGTGTACGTGAAAGCTCTTGTTCCCTGACCTGTTGGGATACATCCCGCGATTTACCTCCCTCACGATACTCTAGGGATGGGGCGGTGGGGGCCCTCAAAGTTGGGGTTCAACCTTTATATTGAGAAATCTCAATTACATTTAAAGAAAGAAGAAATGCACTTTCGGAAATCTTATGCATATTGTATTTTTATTATTGAATATGGTATGAAATGATATTTTAGTTTGTATCATTTTTGTATTTATTGTGTTCTTGTGTTGTTTGTATCCATTGGATGATAACAACACTCTGACGATCTGTAATGTAGAACAACACTACAACAATTATCTGTCATATAAAACAGCACTGTACAATCGTTATTCATGTAAAACGACACTCAATTGGACAAATTTTTTGTGTTCTAATTGACAAGGGGTATAGAAACAAGAAAAGCTCTATTTCTTTGCACCTTGATCTTACATAAAAAATATGATTATTGCATAAGTCAATTATCTTCTCGGCAATCAACTAAATATTAATACGATCACAAACTTAATTTCAATCATACAACACCCAATTAAGTAAAAAATGATGGCTACTGCTTCTTAAATTAGAGGCAACATAACATTAAAATTAAGACCTAATTCAAGTGGTAAGATTAAATTTTAATAGACTGATGATCAATATTTGAACCTCCTTTTTGGGGAGGGTTGAAATCGAATGGTACATCACAATTAATAATTTTTCGAATGATTTTTATCAATAGAAATCACAATCGTCTACAATGAAAAGATGGAGACAACTCTATCAAAAAATGAAAGTTAAGGGCAAAAGTAAAGAGATATAGATTAAACAAAAAGGGATTATACCTTGTTCTTTATCCAGACCAAATCTATTCTAAGACATCAAATCTCAAAAGTATTATGTTATGGTTATGTTCTGTCAAAGCTCAATGGTAATCGAATCTATGCTTTAGGATAATGTTATTCCAAGACGTAAATATGCAAGAAAAAGATTGCACGCTGCTAAATTTGCAATTACGGAAGAATGGAGAGTAACTTGTCTCAAATGTACAACCGTCAGTGGCTATCGAAAAAGAAGAATACGAGATTCTAATTCGAGTAAACGACAATGAAATGGTTCCGACAAGAAATGATTAAAAATAATATAATTGTCCTGTAGGTGTGTCAGTATCAATCTATAGCTTAATTCATCTTATTTAAAATCGAAATTCATTCTACTAAATTAAGCAAATTCATTAAAGAGCAGCAAATCCAGCAAGACTTCTTTAATATATTTCTCAGCTTAACGGTTCTTTAGGTTGCAAGGATTTGGAATATTCACTTATTTCAATTTCAATCTCTATCGTAGCCATCTAAATCAATTTTATCCAACCGAATCCTCTTAGCTAAAAAATATATCCACTACAGAGAGTAATATGTATGATTTGGTGTCAAGTATTTATTTGGTGGGTTGATGAAATGGGGGAAATTGGAGCAATCTAGGGATTTGGAGAGGGCCCTTTTTGGTTTTGAGGAAAAGGGCAGTTTCTGATTTGAAGGGATTTACAGTGAAAGGGAGATGAAGGATTTGATGGGGAGCCCAGGGTCTGTCAGTGGATTATTGTTGAGGATTTTGCAATGTATACTTGCAGCTGGGTCCGTTGGAGTTATGGTTTCTGCTCATGGGTTTTCTAACTTCACTGCTTACTGGTATATTTCATTTCTCTCTGTCCTTTTCTTTTCCTCAAGAATATATATTTTCACTGGTGCTTTTTAAGTCTGGTTTTGCTTTTAGATTGATTTGTGAGTATTTCTTGTGACACATAAAAAGGGAATTTTGAATGTGGTATAGTCTAGAGGATCCTGGTTTTGTTCAATTTGATTGCAATACGGTTTGTTCCGTCTGCCTAATTTTTCTGGATAAGATGGATCTCTGACCCCCATTAATTTTTTATTAATTTTTTAAATTTCCTGAATTTAGTGAGCTTAAGTTCTAATAACAGGTAATATTTTTGTGTTTCAATCTATATTGTTGGTGTGAGAATGAAAATTATTTATAGAAACGTTCATCAATAAGCCAGGATGCTGTTGGTGTTACTACAGTAAGAGTTTTTAGCTTCCTGATTTAATTTTGAACGTCTGGAAGTTCAAATGAAAGTAAAGTGGTAGCTATTTGCGTATTAAGCGATGTAGACCCAACTTTTAGTAGATGCATGTTATTTCCCATGGAAAACTTACAGTGATCATCAAAAGTCGCAAAGCTGTAAAAACCAGAGTATAACATGCATCTACTAAAACTTGGGTCTTCGTCGCTTAAAACACAAATAGCTACCAATTTACTTTCATCAAAAGTTGCAAAGCTGTAAGAACCAGAGTATATGTATCTCCCTGATAGTATATTTGTCTACAAAATGCCTGATATTGTAAGTACCTATGGAAGTTTGATTTGTACTTTGTTATCTTAGTTATATTGAAGTGTAACTACAAATAATATCAACGGTTCTTTCATATATTTCCATTCAGAAAATCTTATAAATATTTGGCCACATCTAATGTGAAATGGTCTTGGATTCTTGGTCCTCGTATGGTATGAGACGTTAAGATGTCTCTGTAACTCAGTGAAAGTTGATATTTTTGTTTCCGTATTCCCTCATCCACAAACATACCGGTTTGCTCTAGCAGTCACGAGTATAAGAAATATTTTTGTCATTGAAGTAAATATTGCTATACACAGTCTACAAAGACTAATTGGATTTTAATCAATTTCATAATTTTGATGACATTTAACTGTTTGATTCAGCTATCTGATTGCATCAATGGGGCTTCAATTATTATGGAGCTTTGGACTTTCATGTCTAGATGCCTATGCTTTGTGGATAAAAAAAGACCTCCGTAGTCCAGTCTTAGCAAGCCTGTTTGTTGTCGGTGATTGGGTAATTACCTTCCCATTAATTCATTTACTGTATTGTACTGGACTCTGTCAACTTTTTATGATGCTTGATCTTGTTGTATGAAACCATATTGATAGCTATCATATCCCCTCCTGTCTTCATTTTTAATCAACTCGTGTTATGACATCCGGCATTTCCATTATGTCAAAGAAATTGATTCTGTGCCACAATATTTTATCAGAATGAGTTTGTGCCAAGCCTCTTGCCCCAGTTTTTGAGATAATGAATATGTTTTTAGGTACGAATTTCTATCTCCCGAGTTGGACTAGAGCACTTCAGGACTTTTCATTTGTAATTCAGATGGTAATTTTCATTTGCCAGGGCTTTGTATAAGTCTTTTCCCTTGTATGCTTAAATACTGTATAATTCTGCTTTGGACTTCGACAATGACAAGTTACGATTCATGCACTATAGTTGGAGCTAGCCACGTGAATTTTTGCAATATTTTACTTTCCGAAACTAAAGTAAATTTTTTTCTCGCCATTTTGTTCAATCTCAAAATATCTCCTCTGACAAGTCCAATAACATCTAATCCTCTACACCCATTTTAGGCCATGTTAAATTTCTTCTACCTCTTCATATTGTTACATGTACAATGGAGATTACTATCACTTTTCTGAATGATAGCTTGATTAGGTTTATCTACTCTAGTCATCTGAGTAATCTTTCCCTTATTTAATCTTCAACTAGGCTGCCTCAATATGTTAATGTGGTTTTTGTTTTCCTATTTTATTCATTCTAATATGACCGAATCGCGAGTATACCACGGATGAACCTGACGTACAGCTGCTAATAGCTGGCAGATCATGCCAAGGCTAAGTTCCAGATCTGAAAAGTCAAGTTTCAGATCAGCCTAGTGCACCAACCACATGGTACGAGGGGCACTCAAAGACCTAGCGAACGATGGCCCACCCCACCTAAGAGCTCTTATGTCCATCTTATATCCTAATCTCTAATTTTATTTTATTTTGTGTACTTTTGATCTTTTAATGGTGCACACCTCTAAATGTAGCTTTTCTATAGTCATTCTATAGAAATTGCTCTTAAATTGTGCAAGTAATTTTCAATCACAAGGAATTCTTTCTGCCTTTCTCCATTTGTACAACCTACTTTAATTCTATGCATTTGATGCACCTCAGTTTCTTTTTTTTTTTTTTTTTTTGTTAAAATTGAGCAACAGTATAGTACAGAGCCAAATGCCCATGCCGGCTATGACATTAGATGATTTTTAAGCCATTTATTTCTTTAAATTTTGTTGTTTTATTTGATTATGGTTTATTATATATTTTATTAAAAAAATGATGGACTAAGTTGCACTAAAGTTTGCATTAGGTCTAGATTTAGTAGTTGCCAACTATTTCATTATAGGTTTGACTTTGTGTAAGTGGAATATAAGGAAAGCTATCATATTTAATAGGTTACCTTTAATCAATATTGTAATTGATAGCTATCATATTTAGTTATGATTTCGATTCTATTTAATGAGATAATCTTTCACATTAAGAGGCATTGAGTCTTATTATTGGGTATATTTGACATTGTATTAGAACGGTTTGGATCCAAAACAAATTAACTTTTAAATTTCGTTTTTCTTGCCCGACCAATTTTTTTTGATATGCAGAAGCTGTTTCGCAGAAGCCCATCTGGCCCCTCAATTCTATCGTTAATTCTTCTCTCTCTACCCTACTATCTCTCTCAAGGGTTTTACAATATTCGAAACAGTGTTAAAATGCCTTCATCTGCCGTCGCAGCTTCCCTCCACCACCCTCTACAGTCGTCCTGAAAACCCATATCTATCGTAGCCACTAAGAACCTCAAGTTTATGAACCTGGCCAACAATCATCTTATGTGTAGGTGTGTTAATGAAAATGATAGTAGTATTGGGGAGAGAGTAGTGTAGTTTCATCGAGGGTCTTGGGTTATGTTGAAAGAGGGTAAGTATATGAATAAGAGTGGGTCGTGTGCTTTGTGGTTTAGGACATTGGTCGAGAACTTGAAGAAGGGCGGTGAGTTTGCGATCACGGAGGCAAAGGGAGTGGATTCTCTCTAACTTGCAATTTTTGCTTCATCTTTGGTGGCGTTTGGTGGCTGTGAATCTACACGATGGTGGCGGTAGGATGGTGATATTTCTCTAGTTTTTCCTAGGGTTTTTGCTGGAGGTAGATGTGGTGGCGTTCGTAGTTGTAGTTTGACTGTATTTGTTGATGGTTGCTGTGATGGTACCCAGGTGTTTGGTGTCAGTGGCGATGGTTGGTGATGATCGATGGAGTTCGTGATGTCAGGTGGGTATTGTTGGCAGTGGACGTGGTTCGTGATTGGTGGGGCAAGGCTAAGTGTGGGTAGTGATCGGTGATGTGGTAGTCTTGGCCGATAGCTTTGGGTTTAGGTAAGATAGAAGATGAATGTTAAGGGTTGATGGGTTTGTTGTATTGTGCTTAAGTTGTGGGCCTTTTTTATTTTTTATTTTCTTGTAGGTGGTTGACATGTGTTGAAGTATTAATTGGTTTTTTAGTTTGCTAGTTTGGGCCATGGGTCTGATTTTTCAAAGTTGGGCTTATTAGTTTATAGCGTAGTTTGGGTTGTTTTTAGTGTCTTGGTCTTATTGTTGTGGTAAAGTATTTTAACTAATTATTGGCTTACTGTAAGTGTATTGGGATGAAATATTTGTGTTGGAAAAAAATTAGGTTTAGTGGCTGATTTTGGTATAAAATTTGAGTGGGACCCGTCGGTCTAATTTGGAAGATCAAAGTTGATCCATTGTTTTCCTTTGTGAGAGCATAAAAAACCATATATTTACTCACCAAAATTGATGAATGAATGAATTAGAAATTGAAGATCAAAGTTTACCATCGAAAGATGGTTTATGTAGAAAAATAGAATTTGTCCCACATAGGAAAATGAAGAAAATATGAACTACTTTATATATCGTTACACTTTAGAAGGGTGTAATCTGATGCAGAGTGAATAACAAGAAATAAGGAGGAGAAAGGGGAGAAGAGAAGAGGGGGAAAACGGGGGGGAGAAAACGTAGAGACTGTAGCTAACTTTATTCAATTAATTCATCAACTGAAAAATAACAATGTAAAATAGGTTTAAATACTGAAAAATACTGCAAACCTAGGGTCAAGCCCAATACACAAGTCCATAAAATTAAAATAACCTAAGTCCAACTAAAATAATTAAAACTGGACTGGGATGTCCTCATCATAATCATGTGTAGTATAGATACTCTCTCCACGTGCGCGCGTAGGGGGTTCAAATCAAGGATCGAAATAGTACATCGAGCCTTGAACTTGTGAATGGACGAGACCTGCGTACACGAATATCGGACCGAACAGAGCAAAAATTCGCCCATTTGAAGTGTCTACGTTTTGCTATTTTTTGGCTTTCTTCAACTGACTGTTTAAATTTTAAATAGTCGAAACTCCAATATTCATTGTCGAGTTAATGACGTAACTCCTGGCCACTTAAGTGTTCATTACAACCTATTTATTTGGCAATCCTTTTCTATTGCATTCACCAGAAAAATACACGAAAATTCTTTGTTTGCATAAATCATTTTTCGTCTACTGCACAGAATTGTTTTGTCTGCATATATAGTTTATGTCAAGCGTCTGGGTGGTGTTATTGTTCGAATACTAAGTCAGTTTGTCGGAGTAGTTTTTGCAGTGCTCAGATTTTACTGGTTTATCGTTGTATCTTGGGAAACAGACGCTTGGATTAAATCTCAAGCGCTCACTGTGAGGGGGTGTATCTGTTTTAAGGAAACTGTGCTCACATAGGCCTCAGGTTGAAAGTTCATCCGTTGTTTGTTTATTTCCTGTGATTTTATCTTCATTGTTCGTATATTTCTACAATTTATTCGTGTCCTTTATATAATTTGCAATTTTATTATTTCGTTGTTCTATTTATGTTTTAAATAAAATCAGATTGATCTGAATTTTTTTGCAAACATTTATTTTGCTAAATGCAATTTCGGTATTTGTTAGTTGTATGTACGATATCTAACCTCACTGTTGATATGGAATGGGTAAAACCAATATGTATTAATATGGTAAAGTGCATATACGGTGAGCAGCAAATACGGTAGACTGCAAATGCACATATACGGTATATTGCATATACGGCATGCGTAAATCCGGTCTCTAACTTATATATATGATATGTGTGAATACGGTTTCATCCACTACACTAATTTAATCCAACAAACTTAAAACAAATTGTTAATATATATTGGTAGTAAACAAGTTGTTTATTTTGGTTTATTGGAGACTTATATTTGTTTCAATTTTAGAAATGGCTATCGAACCAACCAACATGGATGTTACCTAAATTGTTCATGCTGGAAATCAAGTTGTGGGCTCTACTGTGGCCCAAGGGCCAAGCTATGTTGTGACCCAGACTTTGGCTAAGTTGTCAAGTGATGTTGTGATTCAAACTGTGGCTCTAACAACTGGCCAAACTGTTACTGTTCCGGTTAATTATGGAGAAAAACCACAGAAATTCAAGAGATGGTAGCAGAAAATGATGTTTTACCTGACCATCTTGAATCTTGCGAGATTTTTGACCGAGACTGCTCCGAAACTCAATGAAGGAGGGGGAGATGTTCAAGCATTTGTGCCGAAACTACATTATGAACAGTTTAGCTGACACGCTATACAATGTATATAGTACTATGAAAACTGTTAAGGAGTTGTGGGAGTCTTTAGATCGGAAATATAAAACCGAGGATGCCAGAATTAAAAAATTCATTGTCGACAGATTCCTAGATTATAAGATGGTGGACTCCAAAACAGTTATCAGTCAAGTGCAAGAACTTCAAGTGATTCTTCACGAGATTCATACTCAAGGGATGATTTTAAGTGAAACCTTTCAAGTGGTTGCAATTATTGAAAAATTGCCTCCTGCATGGAAAGATTTAAAAAATTATCTTAAGCACAAACAAAAGGAAATGAACGTCGAAGAACTAATTGTTAGACTTC